CAAGTAAGTAGAACAGTTCAACAACCACAATGAAAAGACTGAAAAGTGAATAAAAGCTTGTGGTGATTTCTGAAACATGCAGCAAAGTGGGCATTTGCTGTGAAAATGCTAATGAGCAATGTTATGATACTGTAACATAAACTCCCTGCAGACCCAGGAAAGAACCACAGAAAAATCTGACTGGATGCATGGAGAGAATGCTCAGGAGTTAACAGCACGGCTTAAATGGATTCAGCACTTCTGTATGTGACTGCGGAACCTCTCCATCTGTGCAAAATGTGGAGACCATGAACCTGAAGTGTCAGCAGCCAGCCCTATGCGTTACAGGTGTGTAGGATGGAAGATTCCTGCTTTCCACAGGGCATCAGCCCTGCAGGTCACAGAACAGCAACAGGGAAAACATAAAATACACCGTGCCTGCTGCTCTGCCTATGGGTTTGACAAGGCTGCCCTCTACTGAGAACAGCCTGGAGAAAGGATTTTGGCCAAAAAAAAAATTACAAACCAGAGAAGCAAGAATAGCAAAATGTTTGTGTGTTGAATGTGTGCTCTAGAAACTGGGGCAGTGCTGGGAATTCAGGTGTTCTGACTGGGCACTGAGGCTGTGCACCCTAAATATCAGCAGTGCAGCCTCTCAGGGCTGGGTGGTTTTGTTTTTGCTTTCAGCAGGCCGGTAGCATCCCAGGAAAAGTGAAGAATAAACATTAACAGAATTCCAGAGCGCAGTTATGAAATACCTAGTGTAATTTCCTGCATTTTGCAATGCTCGATGTTTATTTTTAATGATTACAGCAGGAAAAAAAAAAAAAAAAACTGAGTAAGGAAGAAAGGAAGAAAGAAAAGCAGCCTCCATCCTAAAGAATCAGCATTAAAATATTTCACAGGAGGTGCACCCTGCTCTGCCAACCAAAAAAGCTCCAGACTTGCAGTATATGGTTCTCAAACATCAACTCTATCTAAAACATGTAAAAATCAGAAACCCACACATACTGTCATCTGTCCCCTCCAGACTTGTGAGTTGGAATGATGGGCCATGCATGGCGCTTTGCCCAGAAACCTGAAATCCTCACCCAAAACAGCAGAGCAGGTTACCAGCAAGTGCCATACCCTACTGCCAACATCAGCAGGGCTGGTGAGCCTGCCCTTACACTTGATCCTCACTGAGCATTTCAGTCAACCTCCCCCAAAACTGTATGAATTGGGTACAAAATCATACTCGACAATTAGGGTTTACTACTCGTAGCTTGGAGTTTGCTACCTTAGCTTAGTGTTCACTACTGGAAGCAGCATGGAAACAGGAATGGCCCATTGCATTGCTCAGCATCAATGCAGTGGATTGCAGAATCTCTGCATCCCAAGCTGCCAACTGTGGGAAGGTGTGTGGGGATTTATTCCGCGCTATCCGTTATTTTGGGGGCAAGCACTTTCCTTACAAAATGAAATAAGAGTTGCATCAGGCCTGGTATTGCCAGCCACCCCAGGTGCAGCAAGCAGGTGTGTGGGGGCATAGGGCTGGATGGGGCAACACGGTGCAATCTGTGGTGTGTGTAAGGAGCCCTGGCAGCAGCTCTCAAGTACAACTATCCATCTTCTGTCTCTTGGGAGCTCGAAGCCGTTACAATGTGTACACTGTGCAACAAGGACCGGCCCTGTAAGCTCAATGTTTCCAGCGCTCCACCAGGATGCCTTAACTTTAATGCTGTGTTTAACTTCCACAGGTCTCAGCATTGCTCGGGGAGAGTTTTCCCCCCTATTAAAGACTTGCAGATCGTTCAGAACCTTGGAAGGTACATGGGCTGTGCTGCAAGGTGGTGGCTGCAAGGGTGCTGAGCTGATGGAGCTGCTGCCTTGTTAGGTAAAATGAGGTAGGTAAGATGATTAACCTCAGTTCTGGATTTTGACCAAGAACCACTTCGATTATTAATCCATGCCGCTTAACTATTAATTCTGTCAACCTAAGGTTAAATTGGCGTGTTTAATTATTGATTCTCATGGTTCTGTGAACACGGCTAGGATATCTGTCACATGAGACAGGCGGTGGAATCACCACAGGCATTCAGAGCCATGGAGATGTGGCACTGAGTGGGCACGGTGGGCTGGACTTGGACTTGGGGATTTGAGATCCAACCTGAATGATTCCATGATAATGAGTGCATGGGATAAGAACGACCAAGGAACTCAGCCCGTTCAAAAGCCTCGTTCACACATTCATCCCCTCGCTGCAGCGGACAGACCGAAGTACCCATCCCACCTCCCCCCATGACCGCCCGCCTCCCAACCGTCGCTTCCCGGCAGCCCCTCAGCGAGAGGGCGGCAGCTTCCTGGCAGAGCGACAAGCCGCTCAGCCAATGGCGCTGCATTTTGGAGGCCTACGGACCAATAGGAGTGCACGCTCTCCGGAGTGTTCTAGAAGGGGCGGGCGGGGAGGCGCGGCTCGTTTCGTTCCCGCCCCATCCCGGCCCGGCCCGGCCTAGCGTGGAGCGGCAGCCATGGCGGTGAAGGCCCTCAACCCCAAAGCCGAGGTGGCTCGCGCCCAGGCCGCCCTGGCGGTGAACATCAGCGCTGCCCGAGGTCTGCAGGACGTGCTGCGGACCAACCTGGGCCCTAAGGGCACCATGAAGATGTGAGGAACCTCGCGCGGCTCCCTCAGAGGGCGGGCCGGGCCTTCCCGCCATGCGCCTCAGCGCGCGGGCGGCCGTTGGGACCTGAGGGGAGAGCGGGGCTGCGCGGCGGGGAGCGGAGGCGGAGGGCGGGTGTGGGACGGGCGGTGGGCTTGGGGCCGGGGGCCGGGGAGGGCCGTTCGGAGGCTCGCTCGCAGGCTCGCTCACCCTCTTCGTGCTGCCCGCAGGCTGGTGTCGGGGGCCGGAGACATCAAGCTGACCAAAGATGGCAACGTGCTGCTGCAGGAAATGGTGAGCGGTGGGAGGAGGGGGGTCAGGGGGAGCGGAGCCTGCTTGTGGATGTCCCTGTGAGGCGCTGTGGGGGTTGGGGGCCGACTGCCTTTGTGTGGGATGTGGCACCGTGTGTCTGGTGGGAGGTGAGGCTGAATTGGCTGCTCTGTGGGGAGCCTGTTCTGTGCCCACCGCCCTCTGGTGAGGAACCTCCTAACACCCTCCCCGGCTCAGCTCCCTGCCATTCTCTGACGTACTGTCGCTGTTTGGGTCCCCAAGGGAAAAAGAAGATCTTATTATATAGATTAGCTCAAGAAATTTACTGTCAAATCTAAATGTCTTTTGTTGTTAAGAGGGATTATGTGTTGAAACCAGCCGAACTGCCAGGAATCATTGAAACCATCATCTATTCATTAACAATCTTGGTTAGCTAGTTTTAGATTACTTGCTACCTGTACCAGTGCCATAAAGCTTACTATTCAGTTTGTTATTTTTGTTTAGCAAATACAACACCCCACAGCCTCCTTGATAGCAAAAGTAGCAACAGCACAGGATGACATCACTGGAGATGGTACCACCTCAAATGTCTTAATCATTGGAGAGCTGCTGAAGCAGGCAGATCTCTATATTTCTGAGGTATGTGTGCAGCATTTCTTTTGTAGATGGGCAAGTAAAAAAGCTTCACCTGAAAATGTTCAGCTTTGGTTTTTTGTAGTGTGCTTGGTGCTCAAAAACATGGAAATCAAATACGTCTTTCCACTTAAAATGAGCGTGTCACAGAACTTATAAAATGGAGAAAAGCTAAAGAGGACCTAAGGCTTGTTCTGCTTATTTATACTGTAGCTTTTAACAACGTTGTGCCTGATTCATGCTGTTATCTTTGACTGTTTTGTTTGAATGAAAACATTTCTTATCTGCATGCTAATGAGGAAATACTCTATGCTAGTAGATGTTTTGGTAGTATAAGTTGGAGAATAGGCATTCATATTGCACAGTGAACACCCAAGTGTGCTTGATAGTTCCCTTGGTTTAAATTCTGTGCTAGAATAACCTGTGCTTTTCCTCTGCATTGGAAGGATTGGCATTCCTTTTATATGTATTCAGAAGGACAGTACATTTTGTTATCACTGTAGTGCGTATGCTCCCTGTTCTGCTTACAGGGAAAGCACTATTTTATCTTACTGTTGTCTGATTACGTCCCTTCTTTTCTTGCATTAGGGCTTGCACCCTAGAATAGTAGCAGAAGGATTTGAGATTGCAAAGGAAAAGGCACTTGAAGTCTTGGAGCAGGTCAAAGTAACCAAGGAAATGGACAGGGAGACCCTTATAGATGTTGCCAAAACGTCCCTTCGTACTAAAGTTCATACTGAACTTGCTGACATCTTAACAGAAGTAAGTGTCCATGCATCTTCATCCCCTTTTTTGTGTTGTGCTCCAGGTTTTAAGCTGCTGGGTTATTCCTTTGGCGAGGAGCAGATAGAAGGGTAGATAGAGCTTGCACTTGAGAGTCTGATGGCCCTTCTGGGGATCCCCCTCTCCTCTATTTCAGGCTGTAGTTGATTCTGTTTTGGCCGTCAGAAAACCAGGTGAACCTATTGACCTTCACATGGTGGAGATCATGGAGATGAAGCATAAATCGGAAACTGACACCACGTAAGTAATGAGTCTCCTCAAGCTTCAGTTTAATGGTATCCTGAAACTGGAGTGGGTTGTTTTTTTGTGTGTGTTTGGGCTTTTGTGCTGTGGTTATTTTTTCTGTTGGAAGAACATGGGTGTCTCAGAGGTGCTGTTGGAAAAATCATTAGGGAGTGAGTGAAAGAAAGGCAGAAATACAAGTTTGAGCCATGAGTGATCTTGGCAGCATAAGTTTCCCAGCCACTGAACTTGACATACTGACAAGATGTTTGAATAGCAAAGAGTAACACTGCCTCAGACTTCAGCTTTGCTGCAGATGGGCATGGTTGTTTGCTTTATAACCATGTGGTACTGTCTGCGTCTTGAGGATGCTTAATATATTCTCAGCTTCTGTGAGACAGTAGTGATCAGTACCTGAAAACTGGGTTGCAGCTGTCTCACTGGGTGTTCTTCGTGCCCTTATATTTCACAGTGGCATGGACGAATTCTGCGCTAGCTGTCTTCAGTAGCTATTGCAGTCAGACACCGTGCCAGAATAAATTCCCAGTTTACACTCTGGCATGCTTCTGTATGTGAGTGGGCATGCCCTTGGGAGTGGGAAACAAGATCATTCTTTGCTTCTAACTCAAATTCACAGACAGTTCATACTGGATGATGGCACTGCTGGTTATCTCGAGCAGTGTGTGCTTACATTAAGTGCTGGTCTCTGACCATCTTGACACACAAGATGCTCATTGATCTTTCAGGCTGATCAGGGGGCTGGTTTTGGATCACGGTGCTCGCCATCCTGACATGAAGAAAAGGGTGGAAGATGCCTATATTCTTACTTGCAACGTATCTTTAGAGTATGAGAAAACGTGAGTACACAGCACCAGCATGTAAGACACATTTTCTGTTCCTCAATTCCTTTAAGTTGTGCTTGAACAGTAGGGCCACAGAGATGCTCTTCTGGAGCATGGCAGATAGTGTAGAAGTGGGGGTGGAAAAGGTGGAGCTTCCCTTTTCCAGAAAATGGAAGCAGAGGAAATTAGTAACTGAAATAAAATCTGCATATTGATTTTTAGAATGTTACTGAAAGGATTCCTTCTTCCTTGAGCTGCTTAGCTCTGCGACACAGAGGACAGCTAATTTTCTTACTGCTTTTTTTTTCCTCTCCAGAGAGGTGAGCGCTGGGTTCTTCTACAAAAGTGCAGAAGAGAGAGAGAAACTGGTGAAAGCAGAAAGGAAATTCATTGAAGACAGAGTGAGCAAAATCATAGACTTGAAAAGAAGAGTTTGTGGTGACTCAGATAAAGGATTTATTGTCATTAACCAGAAGGTGAGATAAAGAGTATAACTAAGTTGGGGAAAATAAGCAGAAATGTTGGCTTTCTTGGCAGGTTTGGTGCTTGACTCGTTTAGTGCAGTGCTTTGCCTGCAGATAACTGAATTGAGGTTGATGAACTCACAGTTACGTGCAGTTCCTTCCTCAGATTTCTTTGAGTGCTGAGGAAGAACTTATTAGTGCCAACCTGAGGGGGGATTTGTTTCTTTGTTTTCTGATCTTGATGGTCCCTTCCTTTGTTTCCAGGGAATTGACCCATTTTCCTTGGACGCGCTTGCGAAAGAAGGAATTGTTGCTCTGCGCAGAGCCAAAAGGAGGAACATGGAAAGGTACCCTTTAGGGAGAGAAGGGGTAAATGCCTTGCTCTTCCAGACTGCGCAGTGAGTCACATCTGGCTTGAATCAGCTCTTAAAGGCTGTCAGCAAAAAGTCATCTTCAGTCTGAATGTTACTAGAGTAACTCAGTGTATTTGATACGAACTGGGAAGTTCAGTACAAGGAGGGACGTAGGAATTGAAGCCACCTGTGCTCCAGGAATAAGTGCCTCTTCTGGAGAGGCTTAATTCTGTGGGTTTGTTTGTTTGTTTTAGTGAAGAGCTTTCTTACTAAAAGAAACAAAACTGTTGCAAGCCCAGACCTGCAGTATTTTGTGTGCTGAAATACTGCGGTTTGTGTTGGTGACTTCATGTTTTACTTAATATGAGAGAATTGCTAAGCAGTAAACGAACTCTTTCAGACTGACCCTTGCGTGTGGTGGTACTGCTATGAACTCTGTGGAGGATCTCACTCCTGACTGTCTGGGACATGCAGGTCTTGTCTATGAGTACACACTGGTGAGTACAGCGAGGCTTTTAGTTGAAGCCAAGTTAAATGCTTCTGGTATCGCTTGGCCCCAAGTTTTCTTCTGTATTGATGTGACTGTGTGTGGTGTTTCCTTGCAGTACAGCTCCTAGAATAAGCAGTATGAAGAAATGCAGTAAATGCAGAAATAAGCAGTATGAAGATGGGATTTTAAGCCCCACTGTCTGCCTTATATTTGCTCTCGTCGCATTGCTTATTCCTACTGATAGATCCATATTTTAATATCACGAAGTTAAGAACATGAGAGGAAGATTCTGCTAGGTTCTTTCTACTAGACTTTGCTTCTCATCACTTCTTGGGATGTTACTCAGAACTGAATCTGAAAGTGCCCAGTGTTTTTTTTATTCATGTTTGCTTAACATATGTAAGGTGAATAACTAACCCTGTTCATAGGGAGAAGAGAAGTACACCTTCATTGAGAAGTGTGACAACCCTCGCTCTGTCACCCTGTTGATCAGGGGACCCAATAAGCACACACTTACACAAATAAAGGATGCAGTAAGAGATGGTCTGCGTGCTGTTAAAAATGCAATTGAGGATGGTAAGTCTCAGCTACAGCTCTCCTCAAAACTGATGACTTGTGTGTAAGTTAGCTCTTCAAATTGGAGTAAGTTCTTGTTGTGACGCCTCCATGTTACTGCTTTGCCTTGTAGGATGTGTGATTCCAGGGGCAGGTGCACTGGAAGTGGCAGTAGCTAATGCTCTTATTAAGCATAAACCCAGTGTAAAAGGAAGAGCCCAGCTTGGAGTTCAAGCTTTTGCTGATGCTCTCCTCATCATTCCTAAGGTATGAAGACCTCCAGAATAAAGGGACTCTAAAGCACTCTGGGATCCTTAGCATTTTCTGCAGGAGGCCTCTTTACATTAATGTGAAGTAATGTTTTTGTCTCCAAGGTTCTCGCTCAGAACTCTGGTTACGATCCCCAGGAAACACTGGTGAAGGTTCAGGCAGAACACGTAGAATCTGGGCAGCTCATTGGAGTTGACTTGAACACTGGTAAGAGTTTTCGAAAACCATGGAATCTCATAAAATCAGCTTGGCAGTAAATACAGAGCAGCAAAACAATGCTGCTGAGGGATAGGAGTGTTTCTAGGAGGCCAAAACTATCACGGACCAGCTCTGTGAAGCGTAAGATTGCTCTTACTGCAGAAGGCTCAGCTCTTCGTGGAAGGAGGCAATACAGAATGCCTTGGCAGGTGTGCTTTGTAATGCTTAAATGCAGTGTGTGCACTTTGTACACAGCAAGTAATTTGAATTGTTAAGCAGCAGGATTCCTCCCTTGAATTATGGAGACTGGTTGTTTAAAGATTGTGCCTCCTTCCTAGGTGAGCCAATGGTAGCTGCAGCAGCTGGAATCTGGGACAACTACAATGTCAAAAAGCAGCTACTTCATTCATGGTAAGTGCTGTGGTGGTTTCACTTCAAATAGGAACGGGTTGACAAGATTGGTAACATGGGTGGAACGAAGGAATCTCTATTAGAGGAAGCTGTCTTGCAGTGTAGGAATAAAGCTGAGTTGTTTGTGCCAAAACAAACGTTCTGTTTATTTACTGTTCCCAGCACGGTGATTGCTAGCAACATTCTCTTGGTGGATGAAATTATGCGAGCTGGAATGTCGTCTCTGAAAGGCTGAATTGGATCTGGTGGTGGTGGTGGTCAGCTCCAGTAGTGCCCTCTGGAATGCCTTCAAGAAGTCCACCTAAAAGTGCTTTTTTGAGCCACGGTGGATTTCCCCAGCAGTGGAAGTCACTGCTGTAACTAGCAGCACCTCTTTGGTAAACGCGGCCACTGAAGATATTAGCAACTATGGAAATATTCGGTTCTAAAACATCAGTTATTTATTTTTAATTTCTCTGAAGTGTACAACTGAAGTTGCTGTCCTTTTTACCCAATAAACTGTTATGTTCTGTGCTTTCTGTGTCCGTTATTGAAAACTTAGCGTTCTGTGGACCAAAGTTTTGAACTTTGTTCAGCACTTTGAGGACAGCGCTGGGCCGTGGGCTTGGATTTGTGTTTTCTGGTTGCTGGCTCTGCAGTTGGGCTTTGTGACTGATTCCAGTCTTTGGGGTACAGGGTAGAGTCATGATGCTGCTTCTGGAGTGCAGGGGTCTGTGTGGAATTGGTGCAGAGCATCTCATGCAGGTGGACTATGGCAATAATTTGTTTTTTTTCTTGCTCACAAATAAAGCTTTTTAGTTTGTGCGCCTCAGGAAGGTTTGAAATGTGTTGCATGTTGTCTTTCTGGCCATAGGTGGCAGCTTAATGCTTTCTGCTGTTTGTAAGCAGAGGCTGTGGACACTGCAGGAGATGCAGAGTGCTGTGTTCAGACCAAGCCTAGCAAGCAGGGAGTTGTGCAGCACGAGCAGGCTGCTGCTGTGTTACATGACTTTTGTCTAGTCCTCATCTTGTTGGCGTTATCAGACTGGGGCTCAGAATGTTTATCCTGCTTATACTGAGCCAGTATGAGCAAAGGAGATGTTGGGTTGTGAGGGGATGAATACAGGATGGACTCAAGTGCTGAAATCCCTGCAGCAACTTGATGCTGTGGAGCAACATTAGTAGGGCTGGGTGTCCCGGCCCTGTGGTTGTTATGGCTGCAGGATGGGAGTGGCTGGAGCTGCTGCCCTGAAGTGGGGCTGAGAAAGGGAACGACCCCAGGGAAGGTGTTTAGATCCCGTGCAGCCCTACGGCGGGGCTGAAGGCGGTTCGTTTGCCTCCTTTCGGTACTGTGTACCAGCTTTCTGTCAGGGCTGCGTGACTGGAACGAGCGACCTTTTTAAAACTTCAGATGTGCACCTAAAGCGCACCTGGTGGTGTGGGTTTGTCAGTAGCCCGGGTAACAGGAGGCTTTTCATACGTGGAGGTGAGATATCAACATTTACGTGCAATGTAAAGCATCCCTTTTCTTTAAAACGAAAAAGCACGCGTGCCGTAATTGGAAAGCACATGCAGTAGGCGTGGTGTGGGGGAAGTGCATCCCTTCCCCCCGGAAACATTTCCCCAGCCTGAAGCTCTTCTGGGTCACAGCCCTGCGGTTCCGCTGCTGATGCGTTTTGCTCTTGGCGCTGCCGGTGCTGCTCGGCTTTGTTCCCAGGGCGATGCACGGAGCGGCGCTGCTTTGCTGCTGCGTGCTGGGCTGCAGCTGTGCTCTGCTGGGTGAGCTGAGAGCGCTGCTGCTTCAGCTCGCACCGCTGCCTGGCTTCCTGCATCCCCCTGCAGAAGCAGAACTGTATAAATGCAAATTGCAGTCGCTTGTTACATTGCAGTGTGTATCCAGCATATGAAGTGGCTTTTTTTTTTTTGTTTTTTGTTTTGGCAAATTAGGAATGCTGCGTTGTGCTTTTAGGTTTACCCGTTAATGTTTGTACCGACTGCTTCACTTTCAGCGTTTGGAAACGATGAGCACATGGTGCAGCTGCC